CATTGAGCAGCTGGACAGCTTCAGTACCTGGGTGTTCACATTAAACAATAACACTGGACTGGTCCCATAATACAAACGCCCTCACAAGAAGGGCCAAAGTCCCTCTTCTCCTTCTGAGGAGTGCTGAGGTCCTTCGGAGTGAGCAGGGCCTTCAGCACAGGACTTTTTATGACTCTGTGGTACTTCTGCCATTTACTACACTGCATGTGCTGGCCCCGGGCAACACAGAGCGGGACAGAAACAGACTGAACAAGCTGTCATAGGCCAGCTCCACTCTGGCTGCTCCCTGGACTCCGTGGAGGAGGTGAGACAGAGGGGTGCTAGCCAATGCCACCTCCATCAGAAACAAAACACCTCCCACTGAAACAGGACTTTAGAGGACTGAGGAGCTCCTTCAGTGAAGAATGAGGCACCCTCAGTGAAGAAGGACAGGGCCTTTATCCCCACCGCTGTCAACTGTATATTAAGTCACCTTAAATGATCACTGTGTGAAAACCTGCACTACTATTGACAACACGGTTTCCAATTGACACTTGTCACTTTTGTTGTACATAATAGTGTCACTTTTATTGTACATATAATCCTGCATGTACATGTGTAGCACATTTCCTCCTTTTGCACAATCTAGAGTGTGTCTAGCCAAGCCAAATGTGACATGTAACTTTCTCCTCTGTGAAAATATATAAAGCACATTCTTATCTTATCTATCGTACCATCTCTACCCAGTCAATTTTGATCGAATTAAATAAATTGTCTATTTTTTTGCCCTAATGCATACCCTACTTGATCTTTATCATTATCGTTAACAATGCATCCCCTCACACTGGAGCAGAATTAGATTGTACATTTTGCTGGTAGCATTAGCAATAGTCACTTCTCTGTGGCTTTTCTGTCTACGGCCAAACATGATAGGTACTGACGGAGAGGAAAAATATAAAAATGTCAATGTTGCAAAAGCGCACATACATGTACACGGACAGTAGTAAAGACACGTTTGAACAGTGTCATTGTGCTCCAATTAATGGAAATAAAATAAATACAAACTTGTGCTTTATCTTGTAAAAGTGGTTAACTGCATATTAGGGATACTTGGATGGGTCCCCATGTCCTTTTGGTGATTGCCCGCCATCGACGTCTTCTGTCTTCATGACGAGCAGGATCCAGATAAAAAAGCTTATGTCCTTGTCTGTTTAAGTATAATCCGACCCGCGGCTGCTGGCGCAAAATGTCACAGTTTTGGCTGTAATGCGCTGAAACAGTTGTTGTTGGTTAGGTGTCCGTAGCTCGCAGTTTAGACTTCTGCCGTCTGTCATGGAGAGTGGGCGTTGGCCCCGTGACCGTCACATGCAAGGGTCAATACCACACCAGACAGACCCAAGGGTGTCGGTTGTGCAAAGATGCACCTGAGCGATCAACACATAACTTGCAGAGTGCAAGGATGCGTGGGCAGGGAAGCTCCTAACATGGAACGCCATAACCAAGTGCGCATAGTGTACAGAAACATCTGTGCAAGTAGGGCTTGAACCCCAAGTTCTAAGAAACTCCTCCTAAGAGTGGAGAATGGAACGAAGATCCTGTGGGACTCAGATTCAGACCGACCGAATGGTAATGAACCAACCTGAATATCGGGTGTAACAAAGGCAGAGGACACCGTGGTGGGTGACAAAGGCAGAGGAAGCCGTGTTGGTGGACAAAGCTGAGGACAGCCGTGGGGGTGGACAAAGGGCAGAGGACACGTGTGGTGGACAAACGACAGAGGACAGCCGTGGTGGTGGACAAAGGGCAGAGGACAGCCGGGGGGGGACAAAGGGCAGAGAGACAAGCCGAGTGGGGGACAAACGACAGAGGACAGCCGTGGTGGTGGACAAAACGACAGAGACAGCGCCGTGTGGTGGACCGTGGCAATTCAAGCGATGTAACAGCCGAAAAAAGAACATGACGAAGCTGAGAAAAGACCAAGGTCTCAGAGAAGAGCTGGAGAGGGCCTGGAGGTAAAGGTCACAGTAGTGAGAGGCCTGGAGGTAAAGGTCACAGTAGAGAGGGCCTGGAGGTAAAGGTGACAGTATGAAGGGCCTGGAGGGTAAAGGTCACAGTTAGTGAGAGGGCCTGGAGGGTAAGGTCACATAGTGCCCGTGGTGATCGGGCACTCGGGGGCAGTGACCCTGAAGCTAGGAAGAGTGTTACAGTGGATCCCTGGAACAACCTCGGACATCTCGGTCCCAGAAATGTGAAGTTCCAGGAACAGCAAAGATCCTGCACAGAACCCTCAGCTCCCAGGATGAGGTTTTGCAAAGGTGAGTGACAATTTTGTTTATACACAAGATATTACGGCCCCCTTGAACCTTTCAACATTTCGCCACATTTCAGGCTTCAAACATAAACATATACAAATGAGGTTTTGTCATGAATTGGGACACAATCGTGAAGTGGAACGACAGTAAAAGAAGTTCAGTGAGATCTTTGAATGATCCAAATGTTGGCCTAAAATGACTGAATTGAGGTAATTGCACCTTGTTTAAGAAAGGGTAAAACGAAACGGAACGCTCTACTCAGCATGGACCCCAACCCTCGCCCATACATTACGGGTGCCCCCGCAAATCCATTTATTGACCCGCCTCCTGCTTGATTCACATAATAATTCACAAATCTTTGAGAGTTCATTTTTTCAGCGTTAGTTGTTTCAGACAAAAGTTTTTGAAGTTGGTCTAAAATGCAGTTTACAAATAGTCTTCCCGTAGGTGAAGCGAATGGGCGTGTTTAAATCCGTTTTTAATTCTATTTGTATATCTTGTATGCGCTGTTTATTCACAGGGACGTAATGCAAGCGGTTGTAGGACAGAGTGACGAGATCTCCGTATGATCCCTCTTTTTTAATGATTCTCAGAAGTGGAACAACATAATCACCAACATGTTGGGCTTCCACAATGTTGGTATAGACATAAAAATTATAATGCCCACTATTGATATCGCACGGATATTTACTCAGAGTTTTTCCATCGGTTTTGACCCATTCATCAGGCTCAAAACCCAGTATGTAGGCTAAGGGCGGAGTAAACTTGATAGAGAATCGGCCTGTCCCAAATATTGAAGCTCTTTTGTTGATAGAGCTGTAAAAGAAGATGAGATCAACGTTTACAGATTTTAATATGGCGTTGATTTCCTTCACTATCAATTCAACTTTCTCATAGTGCCCATTAGGAATTTTTACATAGTTGGGTGGGTCGGTTGTGGATGAGTGATCCATTAGTTCAAATCCATCTTCGGCCCCGGCGATATTATTCCATGTGTGACAGTACATGATCTCAGCCAGGGCTACTTCATAAGCTCCTTGTAGTTCTATCGGCTTAGACAGTGTGATTGTATAATTTGAACTGTCATTGTCGGGGAATATGTTGTGACAGGCGTTTGATGGTAGCGTCACATAGAAGGAGTCTTGATTGGTCATTTTGCTTTCTGTTTTTTCTCCAGGTCTATGACCGCTTTAGCAGGTATCCAGGAGTCAAACTGACTTGGCCATCCTCGCCAGTGTACTAAAACCATCTTCTGACCCTTTTTTGTTTTCTTGTCTAGTATTTCTTCTATACGGAAAACACTATCGGGCATGATTTTCACTTTCTGGAGTTCAGCTTCATAGAATGTCCCGTTCAGAATTTCGCCTCTTACATCTCGTAATTTATAAACGGGGGGAACTCGAGTGATCTTTTCATTAACTATAAAATATTCATCCGTGAATGATTGTTCATACATTTTGTCAAATACACCACGGTATTTTGAAATCCGAACCACATCACCCTCTTTGAATTTAAATAAGTTGACTCTAGGGGCTAGAGGCATTGACGAGTATAAGTTTTCAAACACAATTGATGTCCTGCTGTCTGTTACCTCCACAGGTTTCATTTTTATACTGCTGTGATAAATATTGTTATAGCTAGTCAGTAGATCTTGAAGAACATCGACGTATCTGCGAGTGTTTTTTGCTGTGAAAAATCTCCACATTTTTGTCTTCAAGGTGCGATTAAACCGTTCCACCACTGAGGCCTTCAAATCACTTCCTGTTGCAAAGTGACGTATGTTGTGTTTCTTCATCAGTTTTTCAAAAACCCTGTTAAAGAATTCTTTTCCTGCATCAGTTTGGACTTTTAAAGGAATTCCGCTCTCTTCTAAAATGGAAGCAAAAGCCATCGCAACTTCCCCCGCTGACTTGTTTTTGAGAGCCTTGGCATATGCTTTCTTTGAAAATACATCAATTACTGTAAGCATAAACTTGAACTGATCATTGTCTTTAGCTAAAGCGCTCATATCGCAGAGATCAGCCTGGAATTGATATAGTGATCGGGGTACAAATACACGATTTCTAGCATAGGTTTTCCTAGCGCTTTTGTGCAGAGTATAGGCGTCTTGGCCCGACAGCCATTCTCGGACTTTGGCCCCTGTAACTTTCAGACCCGCTTGTTCTTCTGCAGCTTTTTGAAGTCGTTCTACACCTCCATATGACCCTGCTTTTGCTGGATTATAATATATGCTTTTCAGCACCCTATCTGTCTTTCTCAATGCCATGATGTCGAGTGTGTAGATAAGACATGAGTCATATGTTTTAGTGTTCAATTTTTTATTAAAAACATTTAATTGAGTCATTCATCACATTTAGTACAGAATCAACATCAATTGTATGACCGTGCTTCAATTTAAAAGTTACTACATCCACTATAAAGGTATACATGACATGTGCTATAGTATGACTATCAATAGTTATAAGATTAAAAATACAACGTAATGTTTCTTCAAAATCATTTGAGCTTGCAGCCTTAGTCACTAGCGTTTTCCAGGACGAGTTCTTGTTTCTCACAATGTCCATCACACTCTCAAAACGTAACAATTCCACGGGTCTCACAATGGTATCTGTCCGGAAAAGTGAAGCATCATTAAGACGGTTGGCGATGCTGTGTTTTAAAAGTGTGTCAACTGCTGGAGGAGAGGGTGTGAAAAAGTTCCCCATTTTTTCAAGGATTCCAGAAACTTAGGAAGTGGTCCAGTAGATCCTCGGACTTCTCTGTGGTGTAGGTACATGTGATCTCATTTACTTTCTCCAAAATGTTTTCTTCATTCTTCAGATCGTAAAGAAAAGCATCGGCCGCTCCTTCCACTCTTGCCTCCAATATGTCCAGACCCGTTTTCGTCAAGGTATTTTTGAGAGCCGGGACAAACTCCCACGTCAAAACCTTGCCCATTAATCGTTCAAAGTTAGCTGAAAAAAACCACGGGACTGGAGGGTAGAGGCACGCATGCTGTCGCTGACTCGGATGGGAGATTTGACATCCGAAACAGTCTTCTTTTATTTGCTGTAACACCACCACTCTTACGGCAGAGGCAACGCAGGCCTTTACAATCTCTAGAAAATCAACTGTACCGGTCAGGCGTGGTTGCGGTGAGCTGGACGGTGTTAAGAAACTGTCGATGACTGTCGGGTTGTAGACCGGGGGAGTCCAGTAGGAATAGTACGCCGGAGCATGGTCTGCCTCATATCCTTGACTTTTTTGCGGAGAAAGAGCAGAGTCATCGCTAAAAGTTGATTCAGAAATGTCAGACACGATCCCCGGAGAGCCGGCATTGAGTTCAGCACCACCCTGATCAGAGGCGAGCGGGGTGTATCTCTTGGGGGAATCTTCAGCCCCTCCGCCAGAACCGGAGACCTGATGGAGACGCTCCAAACCGTCTACTGCGTTGTCTGTTGAAAAGTCCATGTCTAAAATAGTCTCTCTACCGTCGTAACTATATACCCTGCGAGTAGTAGGCGTGTCTAGAAGGCGGGATCTAGGAAGGAGGGGTCTAGGAGAGAAGGCGGGATCTAGAAGGCAAGTCCAGACATGTCCGTAAAGACGGACATGAAGTTTAGCAACATGAAAAATCTCTCACTTTGTCGTTCCCGTTCTCTCCATCAACATGTGCTTCAACCCGCATCAGATTTAGACGACGTCTGCATCCTTTCACCAGCTGAGGTTTGTCGTATGTTGTTAACCTCTTTTCCATCAGAATCTGTTTCCGCTTTTCTTCATTAAAAAACAGCTCGATTTGGCACAGGAGATTCTCCACGTTAGGGAAGTCCGTCAGCTTGAATGCCACATGGATCGGGAAATATCGCTCTTTCGCCACGATCGTATCCGGTTGTTCTACTTTGAGAACATGATGACGATATCTCACCAACAGCCACTTGTAGGACCTTGAGCAATCGACGAGAAATGTTCCATCCGTTCCACGTAATAGTGAATCAGCACACACCGGTATGCTCGACATCCATTTACTAAGGCGTACGATTCCATCCTCGTTGACACGATCCATATGCTGCATGCATTGCTTTAGCGCCGTCTTCAGTTTTTCAAATTCAGTTGAATAGATTCGCAGTCGCATAGCATGCAGCTGTATATGCTCATGGCTGTATAGATCGACGTAGAAAACTCCTCCAGCTCGTTTAAATTCAGCGACCAAAGTACGGCCTCCCTGGAGATGGAAAATCTTCTTCTTCAGCAGCATGGACTCCATTTTGACTTAAGACTGAATTCCCTAACGCGCGACATCCTTATATCTCATAACTCCGCCCAGTTCCTCCCATTTTCCCACCCCTTTTTTTGACCGCTCACATTTCGCCCCACCCCTTGGTTCCCACGCTTTTTAGACAATAGAGGGGGTGCCATTTTAGACAATAGAAGCTGTCATTTTAGACAATAGAGTCATCAATCATCCTGTGACAGAAAGCGCTTCCTTCTTTCTCTTGTGTCCACCTCCCTCACTCTGAGACATGTTTATTACCCTCTTGTAATGTAGACTATTGCATTTTATTTTATTGTTGAAACTGCACATATCCTGATCCTCTACAGTATTTGCTTCCACATACTGTATAAACTAGGAGTCGGCAACCTGCGGCTCCGGAGGCGCATGCGTCTCTTTCCTTCTGTAGAAGGAAAAACGTTCTTAACGTTTTTAAATGCTGTAAAATTGTGCATAAGTAATATTCAATTAAAAATTTTCTGTCAACGTGTCAGTCAAACCGGCGTGTGAGCATCATAGACTGTGCGCATGGATCCCAAAGCTAAAAAGAGAAGAGTCCATAATAAGACTGGACTAAGAATGAAAATTTACATTTGCTTTCAGTCAATGAGGAAGGACTGCTTCATGTTTGCGATGTAATGAGAAGTTTCTATGAGATAATTGTATCTGTGCTTAGAAACTACAAAAATGGCCGCTCGGGGTGGAGTTGAACCTGTGTCACCTGGATGGGGGCGTGGTCAAAAGCGTCTCATTTGCATTTAAAGAGACAGCACCAAAACAGGTTGCTCTCAGACGCACCTCAGAACAGGTGTAGAAGAAAGGCCCGTGGAGCTACAAATAATGAGACTCAGACCCAGGCATTGCAGTTACGCTTTATATAGGCCACAAATTAATGATTTAGATTTATCAATTATTTGAAAACACGATATGTCCACTTTAATAGGAAGGCAGGAACTATGTTCCATAATTTTAAGTTACTTAACCTTGAAAATGCGTAAAAACCTGCGACACAAGATTTTTTGACATTGACTCTACTAGATTATGAAGATGTTCTATGTTGACTGGAACTCAGATTCATCAATCAATGTATTTACCAAAATTAGCTGCATGAAAAAGTTGTAAACCTGCAGGAATATTAAGGATTTTATTGTGGTAAATCCATTTTCAAAAGGAAAGACCTCCCAAAATAGATTGGTTATTTCAAATGTGCATTGGAAAATACCAGGGGTCTGTGGGTCAGAGCTATCACACAGCCAGGCATGAGCAATTCTGTTGAGTTTGTCATTGGTGCATGAAGGAAAGTTTGAGATTGCTCCTGTGTTCAGTGATGGAGACAGCAGCCATGCAGAAACACAGCCCCACTGGTGGCATATCCACATGGCATCGGAGTGTGGAGGTGTAACATGTGTCGGAGCTGCTGAGCACCCTCCAGTCACTGCTACACACAGATATGGACTGCTCTCTATTCCACATCACAGACAATACTGGATGGTATGGCTCCTTTGTTTGGTTAGACATTAGAAGGTCTATGCTTTGAGTGTGTTTTATGAAAAAAACAAACATATTAGTAGTGCTTTAACGAAACATATTTTGGTAGTTTGTTCCAAAAAGATAACAGTTGATTTGATGGGAATGCTATATTTTGACCCATACAAAATCAACAAAATTCTGCGCCATACAGAAAACCCACAACAGATCAATTATTATTATTTTTTTGTGATAAGTTTCAGTTTAGATGTATAACAAGTTTCGGATATTAATATATCTATCTATCTATCTATATATTGGGCCTTGCTTGTGTAAGTTTGTCAGTTCACTCACTTTCATACATACTGTACTTTTCATTGATAGTATTAACCTGAGTAAAAACACCAAACACTGTTGTAAGAGTGAAACGTGTTTATTGATTTGCTTCAAAGGGTGGAGTCAGAACTATTGCATACCTGCTCCATGTAGCACTAGATTAAAGGGGACGGTCCAGAGCATTTGCTTGTTTTAAAGGACAACAAAACACCAAAATAACTTTTTGTAACTTATAAACTGTATAAATATGTTTCTTATCTTTCCATGTCCTGGTCAATGTTTTAACATTTTAGGCCAAAGTAGATCAAATCTAACTTTTGAGCCAATAAACGGTCTGTGTGGCGCCCTTCTACATTTTCGGTGGCATTTGAATTTGATGCCTAGCCTCTCCATTTCCTTGCAGTGTGACCGCACTTTTGTGCTTTGAGTAGTTGTTCTTTAAGTCCCAGAGAAGTGAGATCTCTCTTCGCCCATTTAAAAGAGAGGTCTATTTGTTTTATGCAAATAACATGCATTTGTATTGTCTTGAATAACTGTATTAATTATACACTGGGGCAAAAAAATTCCAGGAATTCACATTGTAGGATTTTTTAAGAATTTATTTGTAAATTATGGTGGAAAATAAGAATTTGGTCACTTCAAACAAGGAAGATCTCTGGCTCTCACAGACCTGTAACTTCTTCTTTAAGAAGCTCTTCTGTCCTCCACTCATTACCTGTATTAATGGCACCTGTTTGAACTTGTTATCTGTATAAAAGATGGTCCAAATGTAGCCCAAAACGATATTTCAACCACTGATAATCTCCCTTGATCTGGGGCTCCACGCAAGATCTCATCCCGTGGGGTCGAAAATGATCATGAGAACGGTGATCAAAAATCCCAGAACCACACGGGGGGACCTGGTGAATGACCTGCAGAGAGCTGGGACCAAAGTAACAAAGGTTACCATCAGTAACACACTACGACGACAGGGAATCAAATCTTGCAGTGCCAGACGTGTCCCCCTGCTGAAGCCAGTGCATGTCCAGGTCCGTCTGAAGTTTGCCAGAGAGCACATGGATGATACAGCAGAGGATTGGGAGAATGTCATGTGGTTAGATGAAACCAAAGTAGAACTTTTTGGTATAAACTCAACTCGTCGTGTTTGGAGGAAGAAGAATACTGAGTTGCATTCCAAGAACACCATACCTACTGTGAAGCATGGGGGTGGAAACGTCATGCTTTGGGGCTGTTTTTCTGCTAAGGAGACAGGATGACTGATCCGTGTTAAGGAAAGAATGAATGGGGCCATGTATCGTGAGATTTTGAGCCAAAACTTCCTTCCATTGAGTTAAATTTCTATTATTGACCAAATACGTATTTTCCATCATAATTTACAAATACTTTCTTTAAAAATCCTACAATGTAAATTCCTGGATTTTTTTTTCACATTCTGTCTCTCACAGTTGAAGTGTACCTATAATGAAAATTACAGACCTCTGTCATTATTTTAAGTGGGAGAACTTGCACAATTGGTGGCTGACCAAATACTTGTACCACTGTATATCCATCCATCCATCCATTTTCTACCCTTTAATCCATTTCTGGGTCAGGGGGGTGGCAATCAGAGATGCCACCCAAGTCTCATAGCACTAGCCCCTCACTGACCCTCTGCAGGTGGTGAGTCCACAGGAGGACAGCTGCTCTCTGAGTGTGAGCATATAGCCTTGATCTTTCAGTGGGGGCTTTGGGCAAAGTGGGGTTAAGTGTCTTGCCCAAGGACACAACGACAGCAGTCATCAGTGGGAGTCGGTGGAGAAGGTGCAGAGGTGGGAATTGAACCCACAACCTTCAGGCCTGAAGGCCAATGCTCTACCAACTGAGCTACTGTCGCCCAACACCACTGTATATTATATATGATATTACTGTGTCTTTTACTGTGTGTTTATGTTTAACTGATTCCTATTGTAATTTAGGTCTACTCCAGCTGAGTGGGCGGAGCCAATCTATTCAGGCCAGGTGTATTTGCCAGGTGTGCGGCCTGTTTGGGGAATTCCCTCTCCATGTTGTCTTCGGAGAAAGAACACGTACATGTTCTTGGAGAACTGTAAATAAACGATTGAATTAATTCCCTTTCTTCTGCCACTTGAGCCCCTCGATGCTATACTACCTCACATACTGAAATATCAAAAAAATGACAACTCTGAGGTGAAATCCCATTATGTAAGAATAGGTTTTAAAATGAGATAATTTAATAGCACTATTGTTGTGCTTCTTCCAGCATTGTGAGCACAGACATGTAGGATGAATGAATAATGCAATGCAAAAAGTATACTTTAAGATGAAAAAATTCATCAACGCGGGGAAGACCAAGGAGATGGTGGTAAATTACCGCAGACGTCACTCTGCCGCTCCA